GCTGTTTCTTTACGGGCGCCTTGCCATCGAAGATGCTGATTCATGGATATTCCGTCAGTTAACTAATCGTCATTTGTGAATCACCGTAGAAACTCACGCCTTCGACGCTGTTGACATCTTGTTTTTCGATTGGGCAGGATGGACATCACCAGGGGCGATGATAACCGAAGCCCATATCTTCTGACCAACGATTACATGGGTCAGTGGTTGCTTGTAGTCGTCCGACATGTTTCTGAATGGGTTATTAAGAGAGCTTCGCAACTTTGGAAAAATTTCCTTCCTCCTTTTATCGCTATGTTAATACGTACAGAAAGAATGGGGACGCGATTTGATGGGCGCAGAATAATCAGATGGCAGTAGGCACTGCCTATGGAAAGCGCGGCGATCCATACTGAGCGATTCCGTTGACGATAAACTCGTTAAGCTTTGCCATGAACCTTTTGATCCTTGGCAAGCTTATCTTGTCATTCATTCTCGCCCAAGATAACGCAGCTCGAATCTGGCATGGTCATGGTATACCGTACATTGCTGTCTTATGGTGTCGGGGAATGTACCTTGCCGTCGTCCCGTGGCTCGACGTTGTTCTTTCTAGTTAGGTCATTTGCGAAGTGAATTGTGGTATGTACCTGTATGTACCTTTTCTTCCCACAACACAAGGCGATTTACTTTCGCCGGTCTCAAAGGGTGAACGGGCCGTGGAACAATCTAGCGTGGGATTCTTGATGGCGTAAAGTTTGCATTCGGCTACTTACTTACAACAAACTTTCCGTACTTAGCGATTGTTACGATTCCATGCCTTTTCTGAATAGCTACCAGTTCCTCTAGGATCTGCCATGCCAATATAGTACATCATCAAGCATGAATTTTCAAGCGTACGGGTTAGGTGCAGCGGGAGTATTTCGTTTGGGGAGAAAATTGGGGATGGAGGATTTGTGGGTGCTTCAGTTTAACATCCGCATCATGCTCACCTCGAGGGCACAAACACATTCACTGACACTGTTTGCGCAATCAAGGAGTTGAGGGCATCGTTGCGGCTACAGCGAACGCTTTTCACGAGACGAGGATTTTGAAGCGATTGGAAGGCCCTCCAGCGATTCCAAAGTTGTATGGATATGGTCGCGTTGAACATTTCGAGTTGTTGGCGATTGACCTCCTTGGAAAGTCTCGCAGATGATGTCGACGAATTTGTACGGTTTGTACGGGAATTCTCGGTCCAGGAAATTGCAAATATTGGGGTTCAGATGGTGTGCGTTATCTCTTCAACAGATAACCCCTGTCGAATCTCACCGATTTCTGCCATAAAGCTATCCGCCCACAGCCACGGGATCGCTCATCGCGACATAAAGCCTCAAAATGTTCTTTAACGTAACACTTCCCATGATTTATGTACGACCTGCGATATTTGATGAGTAAATTGGAGCGAGCTTCGACCTCTCGTTCAAGGTAGAGGGGTTGACATGTAGCCGCAACGGTCACATTCGGGAATTTGGAACGCTGTTTCGAGTCCGTCAAGGAGATCTAATGTGCCATGTAATGATATCGATAATACTTTATATGTATTCGCAGGCAGAGAAAAAGCTATTCAGAATGCCGCTCTACCAGTTCACGGGTGGTTCGGAGGTGTTCCAGAGGCTTTTATCGTTGCCTGCGGGGAACGAAGAAGTACAAGGGCGCAGAAAAAACGATCCAATAGTGCTTCCACCTACTATATCTGCGGAAGATTTCAGCAATTTCATGAAGGTCCTCTATCCTCAGTGAGTTTTGTTTTTCATCGTTTCGCAATGTGCATCGGTCGTGGATTGTTTACTGATATAACTTATGTTAATGATTATCATGGGGACATGTTCATGGTTCACATTCCCAAAGGCCGTGTGGATCTCCACTTTGAAATTATCGAGCATGTGGTTTTTTCTTCAGGGACGTGGCCATCGAGCGACTGTCGGACAAGAACCATCTGTGGGACGTCCCGCCAACCGAAAAGGGTAGTCCTGGCGCGGACATATGTTCAAGGTTCCTCAGTGGTTGTTACAAGGCCGTCGAGAGTTGGCGGGGGATAGGGTTCTTGTGTCTTATTCTGGCGCCAAGATTATCAGTTTTGAGACGGCGTTCAAGCTTGCTCACATAAATTTTGGGGCTGATAAACCTGTCGTGCCAGTGAATAGAACGCTATCTACAGCTGAATACTGCACGCTTGTGGAACCTCGCGTTGATGCGGTATTTGATGCTGAGGTTCAGGAGCTTGGGCGGTTACCACTACCCCATTAATGCGATCCTGGCTTGTAACACGGTGTAACGTTCGGTCGTGAGGTTTCGAGAACCTTTTCAAGTAGTTATTTAAGCGCCTAATGGTATTATTTGTTGATCCTCGAAGGATAGATGGACTGTTATCAAGGCACTCTGAAAATGGTGCCGTTTTTGAGCGGTTTTGACTGCTTAAGAAAGGGCGTGTCTCGTGCCAATAAGTATGGGCAGGTGGAAGGTTAGAGGTATTTACTCATGACGTCGATTTATGTCTTTCGAAGGCCACGCAGCGTTATTGGTGCGTGCGATGGTATCAACAGTGAGGATCAATTCCACATAAATGTAATGTCGAGCCGTTCGCTTCTTAGTCGTCGGTGGCGGATTTAAACTGATAGTTCTGCCATTTGAATCCAGCCCTATCCAGCCCAATCATGAATTCGTGGATGTTCTATGCCAAGAACCTGTGCTGCGGATATTGGATGATAAGTGAGATACGTTTCGGGGTTGCTGGGGTGCAGTTATTTTGAGGGTGAGGGCGTGGAGAGGATATCAATTCGTTGAGATTTTATCTGGATTCGAAGATATTTAAACAATGTCGTGGAAGGAAAACCTAAGGGGCGTTAAGAAGTAGCTAGATAAGATAGTGAGTATTCTGGATATCATCGACTCGAAAGCGGTTGAACTTCTTGCGATAAGGACCTACCATCGTTGCCTGCTATAAATCTTCGAGTTTCGTCATCTCAGTCTAGGTTTTTCATATGTAGTAGCGCTAAGCCGGTGCATGGACTTTCGAACGATGAACCTCATACATCAAGCGTTCTCATTCCACTCGCCCCCTCTCTCGATATTACGCGTTCCTTCATCCGAGTCGCATCCATCCTGCGAGCTTTAAAAAAAAAAAAAAAAAAAAAAAACGAAACTCGAAACTGACATGAGCTAATGCCCTCTCGGCGCCACTCACTGCATCGCACTTGAAGCTGCGCGACGTGCGATTAACTAAATATACTTGTTGAGATAAATAGTTCGAAGCTTCGGAAGGACAGGATCGGCGGCGAGCTTGCTAGATACAGCTCTGGGATGGACGGATACTTCACAGTCATGACCAGACTCCCTCATGGTCTGGATAAAGTGTTGAAAACACGCGGCAAATGGATGATTACATAACGCAGAATTGATGACGATCTCTCTTGTTCTTTTCCCGCCTCTCACCACCGACGACAACGACGACGACAATAACGGCGACGACGACAACGAAGTCGCCCATTTCGGTCAAGAGATTTGGAAGCCGAACGGCGAGGAAAAAGGTACTGAGAGACTTGTGTTTGGAATACGGTCCTTTCGAGTTTTTTTTTGTCGAACTATACCCTCGTCTGGATACCCTGAGGATGGCCAACCGCTGGCAGTCACCTCTTCTGTCCTATATTAGGTATTACGGAATCCTTCGACGTAGCGAAGATTGTAACATTGAAGATTCTTACTAAATTTACATTCATTGTACTCGAAAAGAAAACGTCGGTGATTATGTTGAGTACCCAAGAAAAACAGTCATGTCACGGAAATGTGGGAGACGGACATGTGGGAGACGAATCTTGGCCCCGTTTCGGAGCGTATTTACTGGCCTCCTTCGTGAGTTCCTCGAACTCATCGTCAAACAATTTAGACACAAGGTACCCCATCGTGGTGCGATAGTCAGTATATAGCCAGCTGGCTGAGCCCGAAGGAGGCTTATCAACTCCAAATGCGAGATGAGCCAACTTGAACGCTATTTCAACACCGATGACGTCGGGAAACGAGAGTCCTTTTCTCTGCCAACTCTCGAAGGCCTTGTAACAACCACTGAGGAACCGCATATTCCCGTGCAAGAGCTACCCTCTCGGTTGGCGAAAATTCCCAAAGGGTAGTTTTCTCCGATAATCGTTGGATCGCCACCTCGCGGAAGTGAATGAAAAACCATTTGTTCGACAATTTGAGAGTGGACATCCACACCGCCTTTGGGAAGGTAAACCAGGAACAGGAACCCCTGACATTCATCATAGGGAAGTTCGATCAATTGGCGCGGTGGCTTCAGACACTGGAGGCTCACCGAGGGTAGAGCACCTTCATGAAGTTCCCAAAGTCCTCTGCGGAGATATCAGATGGGAGAATCACTATCGGCGGCTTCGTTTCTCTGTTCAGCTGCCCCCCTCCAAGTTCATGTTTATTTGACGCGGAAAACGAGAGAAGGTCCCGGAAAAGCCCCGAAGCGCCAATGAACTGGTAGGTGGGGACTCTGAATAGCTGGTTTTCCGCCTGTGGATTATCAGAAATTCGAGCTTTTTGATTGATACATTGGATGGAATAAATCCTTCGCACCTTGAATGTCACATTTTCAAAGTCCCCTTCTAAGAAGTGACTCCCCTACTCGTCATCGCTGAGCTTCCCATCGTCCGACGTAGGTTTTGCTGTTGTGGCCATGATGAGATTAGAATCATTAGATGTGTATGAAACAACGAAAATGTGAATGTAGGAGTGTGTTGGTTGTGGTGGGGGTTATGGTGATGGTTATGGTGGTGGTGGTAGGATTAGGAAATTCATGAGAAATGGCGGAGATGCCGAATCGTGATAAAGCTAGGCGCCCAGATCACACGTGGCCAAAAAATGAAAGGGATGACGGAACGTAGATCCTGAACGATAAGCCACATAACTCGCAATAGAGTATGAATGACTGCAGGCTCCGGGGTTCGCAAATTAAAACCAAAAACACTGTTGAGGGGGCTGAGTGCATTAAGAGGGAATCGAACCCCCGCCGGTGGCAACGACCCAGGTTGCCACTACCCCATTAATGCACTTGGCAGCGGTCCGACGTTTGATATTGTGTCGCAAATTATTGATCAACGTATTAGGCGCCTGTAACCTCTGCGTGGAGACCTGTCATTTTGGAGGGTTTAAACTAGTAAGTGTGTGATGTCAAGTGTTAATCAACGGCCACAAGAGTGTTGTTACCGATGCGAAAATCCAGTTTCGGGGATGCAAACGTCGCAAAAGGAGGAAAGGAAGTACATGAAATCATCTGCGCCGTCCAACATAGCGCCCACGAACGTTGGGCCATTGGCAACTACCGTCGATAAATGACCAGAATTCATGCATGTCGCGGTGCACCAACATAAGTAAAGACATCCCGGACCATGAGGGCTTCGACTACAACTCCATCAATGACGACGTTTGGTTTCCATCCCATTGTATGTCTGGGTCTATCATACACTACCATGGATGTCCAGCAAACCAAGCAGGAAGGGAAAAACGGCAGGCTAATTGATTGTGTCCGGCATTTTCCGGGCACCCTTATCGCAAATCTTATCAAGCCCAGTCAAAGCCGACCCGACCCATTGACGTGTTTTTCATGGAAAGTCGTTCAAAGGTGTGTCCTTCTCTACATTCAAATGCTTCATTGACAGCTCATGTATAGCATTGGAATCACTCCTCGTATGCCTTCGCAGATAATGAAGGTCGTCATTGAAGAACCTGCGAAGAAGTCCTCGTTATCGTCCAACGCTGGTTTATCCTCTGTTGAACAACTTTGCCGTGCCAATCGCTGTGTTTTTGAGGCACAGTGTCACATATAATGCGATTGAAAATGCTTACCCTTGGGAAGCCCTGAACTATTGGCCGATGGTGCCAAGCACCGAGGTCATGGGCATTGCATATGACTGGATCGTAACTGTGTCCCCCATGATCGCAGTCATTATTACGATACCCACATTCATTTCGCTAGACTGGCCGAGTTTGTACTCAGTTCTTTCCAGATGAAACTCTTTATCTCCAGCGGCCTCGTGGTATCCTCATGTGCGTTTCTGTGGGGTCCATTGGAGGCAGTGTCCCACCGTCAACGACACACGACACACGCGGAATAGCTGCTCCTCGTCAGCGTTTTCGCCCACTCATGTGGAATGTGAACGAACGCATTTCGAACATCGTCTCCCACTTTTCCCTAACTTAAACCACCACAACCGCGGAATCTGGACGGACTTCCAATCGCTATTCATTCAAATTAGCTCTCCCTTCCAATCTAATTCCAATTTCCGACGCCCATGACTACTTACTATGACCATCATGGTCCGGGACCCTCCACGTATGAGTACAGAGGGGATCCCGAAGCGGATGAAAACGCAATGCGACGCACCATAACACGAGGCTCGCATCAAAGCCAGGCAAGCGGGGTCAGCGCGAGCACCAAGTCTTGGGTTCAGTCACACCAAGCCAATCCACCTCTACCTCCAGACGAACTGGATGACGAAACGTACTCTCCGTTGCGCAGGCCGAGACCACTCCCCGATCCCCATGCTCAACATTCCTCTCCTCCGCGGCCAGTCCGTCTTTTGGAGAGATCGGAAGACGACAATATGTACATGTACGATTCAAATCCGAATCCTCCAGATCCGCAATTTGGGTATCAAAATGAGTTAGGGATGGGGGGAAGCAGGCCGATTGTCATGAACTCTCCGACGTTTAGCAGCCCTACCTTTCCAGGGATATCGCCAAAGCCTCAAGCTAGGACGAAACGTGGCCTTGGAGGATTTTTCAGTGGCCTTAAGCGTCTTCCCAAAATTCTCAGCGGTGGAGGTGGAGGCAACGAGGGACGAGAAAAAGGGAAAGGCCGGCTCGTTCGCAAAGGGACGTTTGGTACAGAGGCATCCACAACGTTGACAGCTACGGCCATCACGAGAGGTAACACTCTCCCCAGATATTTATCCAACCCTTCTATCGGTCCTTCAAACCCGCAGTTCGCCCACAGATTGAGCATGGCGGTTGCAAACGGTGATCTGCCTCCAGAAGCTACTCCTGCCGTCTTCCAGCTTCGGAACGCCCCTGAGAAACCCCGCCCTCCCATCGTCACTGTTACAGCCCCATCGCTTGATGAGGAAGCAGACTTCTACGGAGACGAGGCGCCACCAGCGACGAACGACAGGCCAGACAACCACCCATACCCTGAAGATCTTCAGGGGTGAACAACGGTAATGGTTTACTCGGATTCGCAGGCCCCTACCGTTACGCAAGCCCCTATACAGCCAGTGATGCCTGCGCGGCAACCAACACCGCCTATACAGGTCGTCCCTTCCCCACCAACGATGAGAGTGTCGTACCCAGTCGAACTACCAACTCGCGCAAACGCCCAGGCCCAAACCGAACCACCATTGGTGGCAGCCCCAACCCCCGTTCGACCCATCCTGTCTCCCCAACGTGCTGTCGCTTCGATATTGTCCCCGCGGAGCATACTATCCCCAGAACCAACGTCCAACTACACCATCTCCGCCGCGCCATCGTTCTACGGCCGCTCATTCGCATCTGACCTCAGCCCCGTCGAGAAGTTCTTCAAAGGCCTCTACCACCTCCCCTGGGTCGCTCAGGAACGTGTAACCGTAGACTACCGACCAGGTGATTCGGACCGCGCAAAGAACAAGGTCAAAGGCGGGGTAAAGAAGCCCATGGCATCGTGGTACCGTTCCGTCATGTCTCGTTCTCGTCGGAACAGCTTGAACCTACTGAGCAGCGGAAGCAACACCATCTCGGACGCTCGAACGAGTTTGGGAACTTCCCTGTCTCCTCTCGGATCGCCCATATCCCGAGGGTCGAGAAGATCGGCAGGGTCTTCGAATCGACAAAGATCCCAACACGCAACGAGGCAAGGAAAAAAGAAAGCTCGCAGGCACACCACATCCACCACCGCTACTCAGCAGGTTCCCGGGCGGAAACAGTCAAGCCCGATCATACCCACCATGTATCCATATACATACCCAGGATATCCCTACGCGTATCAACCGTACGGTACATACCCTGGACCTCCGATGCCCCAAGTCCAAACAATACCCACACCACGCGGCCCACGGCACCACAAAAGCCATACAAGGGCGCCGAAATACCCTCATGGCGGGTACGCACAATACCAACCCATGGCGATGCCCGCTCCACCCCCTCCTGCGCCCCCTATCTACGTCATCGCTCCTTCACCTCCCCAGAGCAACGGAAGCGGCGACACCCATCTAAACGCCCAATTTCAGGGAGGCAATAAAGGCAGCGGCGACAATTTGAACAACGGGGGTGGAGGCGGACCCGTTCAGTATATTCCAACGCAAGGTCCCATGCAGCAGATATCTCCCGTTCTTATGCATTATATTCCAGGGGGGTACAACGTTAACGTAAACCAGAACGGACAGATGATCTCTCCTCCGCTGACGCCTCAGCGGCCGACAGCGTATGGCTCATGATTATGGATCTCCCTATCTATGAGGACTTCGGAAGCTGGTTTATTTATCTCATTGTAATAACATACTCATATCGTGGAATACAAGTCAACATATCACAAGCCATTATGATTGACGAAAGGAATACCAAAGAACGAGAATATAAGGTAATAAAAATACCACGAAAAAAACCTATACGAAAAGAGGGAATATGTATTGAGCTTTCTATGCAAAAAAATATATACATAGTTCACATGAACATGAACGAATCTGAAATCTGGATCGAATGCGCGAGTGGAACAGAAAACATGCGTTTTGGGTACTTTAAAAAGAAAGAGAATTGTATGTATCGGACAAAGATGGCGAACCTAGGTGAGGTGGTTATCCACACAATATATAGTTATAATGGCCCAAAGTTTATACTGCAGAGTTCGGAAGCCGCGAAACACAAGCAAGCAAAAAAACAAAAAGCCGAGAAAAACAGATGAATGAAAGAAAAACAAACCAACGGGCGGTCTAGAGTGGATGGGAGCGGATGTGATAGATACGACGACAACGCAAAGAAAATGAACAAGGTAAAAAGCGTCGGATTAAACCAACATGGCAAAAAGAAAACATCGAAGGAAATCAAGCGTCCCCAAAGAAAGTGCAAAAAACGAGTGTGGATGTAAGAAGAACAACAACCTCCTATCCGAAAAAAAAGTAGCCCACTAGCACGGCAGGTATGTATGTAAAGAAAACGGAAGAAAGAAAAGTAATCAATGCATGGGGCGGATTCGGAGGGATAAAAATACTAAAATAAAGAAAACTTGTATGTGTGTGCGGCGTGGAGAGAGCAGAACAAACAAAAGAAAAACCTGATTAAGAAACGACTGTAAGTAAGTATTCCATTCGTCCGAGTTGGTTGAGCGAAAAAAAAAGGAAGTTCGAGAGGGCTGGCCATCGAGTGATAGGATGTGCTTGAAAGGGGTCGTACAACGCAGATCGGGGATGAGGGGGGAAGTATATGGAAGCAAGCGATGATGACAGTGGATGGGAATGTCAGCATTAACAGACGTAAGCAAGGTATCGTGAGGATGAGACGAAAATGGGGCTGGCGGATGGTCTATCGTCGTCGGGACGTCGAGATTTCAAGGGCGGACGGGCGAGCACAGATGAAAATAGGATGGCGACGGAAAGAAGAAGAGGCGACAACGCGATGAGGATGCCCATGAAAACGCGAACGAGGGCAAGAGAAGAACGATGCAAGGGGAAGGCGACGAGTGACCAGCGACCGAGGGCAAGGTATGGCGTATAAGTAAAGTAATAGCACAGAATTTCCGATGTGGTTGAACGACGAGGATTAGGTTGGACCATTTCTAATTGAACAATGTGTTGTCGATTTTCTTCTTTTTGGTAGCCGGGCAGTCGGTTTGAACCATCCTGCCTATGCAGGGAGACGCAGCGGCATTTTCTTTTAACATCCACCACTATACTAGAATTTCCGAGTCGATTCAACACAATGCCCAACCGAGGTAAAGAGAAAAAACCAGCTCACCAAAGAATTTTTGGGTTTCTCCCACTGCCAAACTGTCATATTCACATCTGCGTCGGTGAAACAAACCGAA